CTTCACGCGCCATTGGCTGAAGCGCGTCCACCATCCCGCCCACCGAGTTGATTGGCTACGGTCGCTTTCTGTCCAAACGGCTGCCCGCCCATCCTCACCGCCTGGCACAGAGACCGCCTTCTTCTACCGAAAGGCATTGGCTCGGCTAAACCGTTCTCGACAGGCCATTGGTCACTCAGCGCGTCACTCAAAACGCTCTTGACGCGCATTACCTCAGCCAGTCAAAGCGTTGCCGCTTGCGACACTCCATTGGTTAATCGGAACGTCAGTCAAAAAAATGTCGGCGTTGATTGGCTTGACTGTGTCGCGCCTCTGCTGCTTTCAGACGCCTTTGGTTAGCCTGAACGTCACTCAACGCATTCTCCACGGCGATTGGCTCAACCACCTGCCCGTCAGTTCCTCACCCGCCTTTCTGTCTTCTGGGCTCTGATTGGAGGGTAGCCTCAGGCCACTGCATCTCATTGGTTCTGGTGCTGCCTTGGTACCCTAGCGGGGCAGGGCATGAACTGCTGGGGGGAGGGGGGGAAGGCACAATCAACCTGTGGAACTCCCTGCCACAGGATGTGGTGAAGTCTAGAACTTTAACAGGTTCAAAAAAGAGCTAGATGGACTCATGGAGGTTAGGTCCATCAATGGCTATTAGGCAGGATGGGTGGGAATGGTGTCCCTGGCCTCTGTCTGTGTGGAGGTGGGTGACAGGGGAGGGATCACGTGAGGATTCCCTGTTGTGCTCCCTCCCTCTGGGGCATCTGGCATTGGCCACTGTCAGCCGACAAGACACTGGGCTGGATGGACTATTGGTCGGGACCCAGTCTGGCCGTTCTTACGTTCTTAAGTGCTGAAGGAACCAACCAGGGGCCATGCACATTTTGACCTGCAGCTCACAAACAGGGAGGAACTAATAGGGAAGTAAATGTGGGTGGCAACCTGGGCAGCAGTGACCATGAGATGGTAGATTTCAGGATCCTGACAAAAGGAAGAAAGGAGAGCAGCAAAATCCACACTGGACTTCAGACAAGCAGCCTTTGACTCCCTCAGGAATGCTAACATAAAGGGGAAAGGAGTCCAGGAGAGCTGGCTGTATTTTAAAGAAGCTTTATTGAAGGCACAGGAACAAACCTTCCCGATGTGCAGTAAGAAAAGCAAATATGGTAGGTGACCAGATTGGCTTACCGGGCTTGGTGAGCTTAAACACAAAAAGGAAGCTTATAAGAAGTGGAAACTTGGACAGATGACTAGAGAGGAATATAAATATATTGCTCGAGAATGCAGGGGAGTGATCAGGAAGGTGAAAGCGCAATTGGAATTGCAGCTAGCAAGGGATGTGAAGGGGAACAAGAAAGGTTTCTACTGGCATGTTAGCAATAAGAGGGTGATCAGAGAGGGTGTGGGGCCTTTACTGGATGAGGGAAGTATCCTAGTGACAGATGATGTGGGAAAAGCTGAAGTACTCAATGCTTTCTTTGCCTCTGTCTTCACAGACAAGGTCAGCTCGCAGACTACTGCAGTAGGCAATGCAGTATGGGAAGGAGGTGGGCAGCCCTCGGTGGAGAAAGAACAGGGTGAGAACTATTTACAAAAGCAGACATACACAAATCCATGGGTCCGGATTTAATGCATCCAATATTCTAGCCAGCAAGTTAAGAGAGTATGGATTGGATATATGGACTGTAAAGTGGATAGAAAGCTGGCTAGATTGTTGGGCCCAACAGGTAGCGATCAACGGCTCAATGTCTCGTTGGCAGTTGGTTTCAAGTGGAGTGCCCAAAGGATCGGTTCTAGGGCTGGTTTTGTTCAACATCTTTATTAATGACCTGGCTGAGGGGATGGATTGCACCCTCAGCAAGTTTGCGGATGACACTAAGCTGGGGGAGAGGTAGATACGCTGGAGGGTAGGGAGAGGGTCCAGAGTGACCTAGACACATTGGAGGATTGGGCCAAAAGAAATGTGATGAGGGTCAACAAGGACAAATGCAGAGTCCTGCCCTTGGGATGGAAGAATCCCAGGCATTGTTACAGGCTGGGGACCGACTGGCTAAGTAGCAGTTCTGTAGAAAAGGACCTGGGGGTTCCAGTGGGTGAGAAGCTGGAGATGAGTCAACAGGGGGCCCTGGTAGCCAAGAAGGCTAATGGCATATTAGGTTGCATTAAGAGCAGCATTGCCAGCAGATCTAGAGAAGTGATTATTCCCCTTTATTCGGCTCTGGTGAGGCCACATCTGGAGTATTGTGTCCAGTTCTGGGACCCCCACTACAGACGGGATGTGGATGCATTGGAGAGGGTCCAATAGAGGCAACCAAAATGATTCGGGGGCTGGAGCACATGACCTCTGAGGAGAGGCTGAGGGACTTGGGTCTGTTTAGTCTGCAGAAGAGAAGAGTGAGGGGGGATTTGAGAGCAGCCTGCAACTCCCTGAAGGGAGGTTCCAGAGAGGATGGAGAGGGGCTGTTCTCAGGGGTGGGGGATGGCAGAATGAGGACTGATAGTCTCAAGTTACAGTGGGGGAGGTCTAGGTTGGATATTAGGAAAAACGATTTCCCTAGGAGGATCGGGAAGCACTGGGCTGGGTTCCCTAGGGAGTGGGGGGGAGGGGTGTGGAATCTCCATCCCTAGAGGTGTTTAAGTCCCGGCTTGACAAAGCCCTGGCTGGGCCGATTGAGTTGGGTTGCTCCTGCCTTGGGCATGGGCTGGACTCGATGACTCCTGAGGTCTCTTCCAGCCCTGGAATTCTAGGATTTTAGGACTCAGCCAAGAGGGGGCGGGGTTCAGCCAGGAGATTCAAGGATGGAGCTTAGCCCAGAGTGGGTGGGGCTCATTTTAGAGTGGGGGTTCAGGGGTGGAGCTTAGCCAGGAGGGGGCAGGGCTCAGCTAAGGGGGGGTTCAG